AGCTTGTTCTAACCGCCCACAATCGTGGAAAAAAAAGGGTCTCCTGCTCTCCGTTTAAATAAACTATTCCATAGTTTCTGTATTGGTCTTCCATTTCATGTCGAATTCTAGATTCTAAAGAAGTACAAATAGTCATAGTCAATGGGTTGACTATGTCGGTGTGCTTGAGGATTTACAATATTTTAATTTGTTTTTGTGACATAATTGCCATAATGATGTCAAGACATACAACTTTTTTATATCACTTCTTCAAGGTGTATACAGTAGATGTAATCTGCCACGTTTTTGCCTGGTCTTGAATTTTGTCTTAGTCTTCAGGAATTTTCTTTGCAATTTGCAATTTCTGTAGTACTTGCCAGTCCTTCATATGCTTAACTAGTTTAAAGAGTGTACTAGAATCCAAATAATTGATGTAAATTAGGAGGAGTAGTGGTACTATTTCAGATTCATGGGGTACTCAACTATTTCTATCATCACAATTTGAATACCCTGCTTCTATCTGTTCTGTTTCCAATTCATGATATACCATGTCATAGGCTCTGTTTGACATACAGTTTTTTCTTGGTCAAAGAACTCTCTAGTTAGAAAAAGATCGATCTTTTTAATTTTGTTTCTAAACGGCTCAGAATCCTGAAGCCATACTGATCGTATACTCCTCTATTTCACAGTTGCACCCGAAAAAAATACAGCTGAAATGTTGCACAACTGTTTCTATTTTTCATTATAAAATTAAAGTTTACTTGTTCCGTTCTTGCCAGTGTACACTGAAATAGCTCCCTGTTTTATTCTTAAGTTAGTTGAAATTATTGCTTTCATAATCTTACATATAACAGAATGTGTTTGTATGCCATTAGAGGTATTGATGTTAGCCATTTGAAGTATTTTGTTAATGGTTGATGAATAACATCTTATCGAGTACCATTGGTACCATAAGTAAAATTCTGTCAGACCCTTGAGATTTATATAATGTATAATTAAATGCCTTTAATACTTTTACTTCTGCCCCTACAAGGGTAATGGTTTTCGATTGAATTAATATTATATAATAACATAACAATTTTGATCTAATTAATTAATATAATTGATTTGTTACAAATGGGGGGTTACGTAACTATATGAAAATCAAGATTTGACTAAGCAGTTTAGTCAATAAGTAAAATAATTATTCATAACCTCGAACTTGTAAATTATTTCTACCAATATACCCAAGTGCCTGGTATAATTAGAGGCATGTAAATTTTGTGTTCTCTGGCACAGCTTTGTTGAGAGGTGTAATAAACCAGGCACACTTGGTTGAACAAATATTTATTATAATTACAAGACACAAACTACTCTACACACAACTAAACATACAACACACAAGTACTTACAAACAAGGCCGTTTCAGAGGCCTAAGATCCTGGTCACCCAGAAAACCCTGGATCGCTACTAAGCACTAAACTCTTAATATGCCTACAGAGGCCACACAAGAGATGAGCTGCCTTCTAACTAAATACAATGCAACTGCAGTTAAATCTCTCTCTCTGCACCCCGGATGCCAGAAAATAAATGGGAGCCTATATTCCTATCCATAAAAATGCACCCTAAGCAGGAAAGACATTTCTGAGGTATCGTTTACCCAGGAAACCCAAGTTCCTTAAAACACAGAATAGCAAGCTCTCTCTAACTAGGTTCAAATACTTAGCTCCATTCAGGTTTGGTTTGGATAATCATGAAGTAGGGGCTCTTGCCTGGCGCAAGCTTCAAGTCCTAGCTCCTCCGGACTTTACAAGGGACTCTTTGCTTCCCTTGTTTCTTCCTCCCTCTTCTCCTTCTGCAACCCCCCCACCCCCACCCCCTTTTGGTGTTTCTTCCTATTCTTCCTCTCCTGTGCTCTTAATGTGATCTACTATGTGTTTCTGTACTACTTCTTGACAATCATTAATCCACCTAGGTATACTAAGGTA